GAAAGCTCTCGAGATGTGCTATAAGAATATGCAATGAAAAATGGGGTGTTCCATTTAAAAAAATTAATGTGACCTTGACCTGACCTTCGCTACGCAACCCAAGGTCAAACTGATGGTATCAGTAAATACATCTTTTTAAACGCCACAACTTTTGTCTGAAACATTTTTTTGTGAAACTTATATTTTTCCTGATATTCGGGCATCCCGGTACTTTCCGAACACCCTGTATATATACTGGTTGATTGGAAATTCCTGCATTCGGAATAGAATATTCAGGACATGATACTTTATGCTAAAACAAACAACTTCTTCCTTTAGCAAAATTGCGACAAGTAGTTTTTGCAGGAGAGCGTGTTAACGAATAAGCGGTCTTGTCTAAGTGGCGCTTAATGCCGGCGCGCGCGCCTCACTCGCGTACACCTAGTCCGTGATAATTAAAAATAAATTTATAATTTATTTTTCTGTTTTATTGCAGTTTGGCAATTTTCTACAAAAATGTAAATTGCACGTAATTGTGCAACATTGAGAATAATAGAATGCTCACAGCTTGCAAAGTATATTATTATTTCCATTTGTCTTTATTGTCAGATGATATTGTGCAATCATGCAATGTTTTATTCATTTATTACATAAAAAATAAAAGCAGTACTTATTTTATTAACTTTTCATTATTTAAGCAACACCATACGGAAGAAGGTTAAATTCTGATATTGTTCATAGTTGATTCTTATTATTTAAGATTGTCTTAAGTATAATTTTAAGACGTTGTAAACTAATCAAAACAGAGCCATATGAACGTCTTAAAAGACATTACTTATAGTCACAGACTAGGTAAATACGAATGAGGCGCGCGCGCCTGCCCTGAGCACCGCTTAGATAAGACCGCTTATTCGTTCACATTAACACGCTCTCCTACAAAAACTACTTATTGAAATCAATTTTGCTAAAGGAAAAAATTATTTGTTTTAGCATAAAATATTATGTCCTGTACTCCGAATGCCAGGATTATCCAGTATATATATATATATATATATATATATATATATATATATATATATATATATATAT